GACTTGATTTGACGATACAGTATTTTCTTTTATCTGTTTATCTGTGAGTTCAATGGCCTCCTGCTCTCTCTCTCCTCTCCTCACCTCCCTCTCTCTCTCTCTCTCTCCCCCTCTTCCTCTCCAACAGGAAGTGGATAGCTCTCTGCTCCAGACTAGGGTTGCCAGAAACTGACCATGATCAAAATCGATTATTCGGCAGCCCTGGCGAATAATAATCGATTATTATTATTATTCTTTATGCCACTAACAATACGTCCAGTTTATTTACCCATGTACTTTTCACAAATGTAAATGAGTTTCCTCGGGTGGGAATAAAACGTCCTCGACGGCAAGTGTCTTTCACGTATTTGTTCAATTAAACCAAGATGACTGTCCTTTATTTTATTTATTTAGTATTCTAACCTTTTATGCTCTCAACCTTTTTGATATTACCATATTTGATTCAATATGCTCCTTAGATAACTTGGAGATGACGTTGTTTTTAAATTGTGCTACATAAATGAAATGTATTATATTATTATTAAGATGCAATTTAAATAAACCAGAGGAGTTGTAAAGCTTCTACTGGTTGACTTGATGTTTTCTTGACTTATATGTCCGCTACGAGCTTGCCGGTGAACGTCCGGGCGTGCAGCTAGAGAGACGGAGGATGTTGGTTTGCCACGCTAATTTCATTACGGTTAGTGTGCAGCTAAGTGTGGGCACAGAGCCACATATTTGAATCATCTTCACTGCGGCTGGACAGGCTCATCCAAGTTAGACAGACGCGGAGGGGAGGTGAGGAGAGAGAGATGCAGAGAGGAGTGATGAGCTCGAGAGGGAAGAGAGAACGAGAGACGAGAGGGGTGAGGAAGAGGAGAAGAGAGAGAGGAGAGCAGGAGGCGTCATTGAAGCTCACGAGAATATAACATGATATAAGGAAATACTGTTATCGTCAAAGTCGTAGTCTGAGCATTTCTTCTTGGTTGTATTCACCGAGCAGCGATCATTTATGCAACATCGAGCAATAGGACAGAACTTTTAAAGTAGTCCTTCTGCCTGCTTGATGTTATGTGCTATATTCAGGTATGTAGTTGTCTCTACTTTAAAGAGTCTCTCCTCCTGCTGATGTTTAGCCTGTGGTATATCGTCGAGCTATGTTAGGGATTGTGTCTCTACTTTAAATGCACGCAGGTCCGTCTCGCTGGCTGATGTCTCAGCTGCGTATGTATCAAGCTTATCTGCCGCTGTAGGTAGGCTTGTTTGAACAGACGAGACCCTGCGCAGACGCTGCGCAATTTTCGATCAACGTTCTTGATTGCTGTCGGGCGCTGGTGAGCATGTGATGCGTATGTGTAGAGTGTCCGGGCTGTGATGCTGCGAGCGGTGTTCGTGGGCTGTGTTCTGTCTATTTGAGATGTGATATATCTCGCGGGTTAGGTTTGGGACCGGCCCGCATGCCTTTTTTTGAATGTAGTCGATGCGCTGGCGAGACGAGCGCCCAGCTTCCTTCTTCCATCTGGTTGCTGTGGTTTTGTTTCTTGTGTGGGCGAAAGTGTGCGTTTGAATGGAAGAGCGCGCGCTGGGTTTCGTATCTCGAGCTGAGCGTCCATTGCGCGGGTAAGCGCCGGCGGGCGTGCTGTGGCGTCAAAAAAAGAAAGCGGGCCAGNCGGGTGGGAATAAAACGTCCTCGACGGCAAGTGTCTTTCACGTATTTGTTGTTAGAATACTAAATAAATAAAATAAAGGACAGTCATCTTGGTTTAATTGAACAAATACGTGAAAGACACTTGCCGTCGAGGACGTTTTATTCCCACCCGAGGAAACACATTTGCATTTGTGAAAAGTACATGGGTAAATAAACTGGACGTATTGTTAGTGGCATAAAGACACTCGGGTAAATCAAGCACTCGTTGAGCTCGTCCTCCGTTCATGCTGAGCATCCTCTTCTGTAAATAAAACCTTTCTGATGGAAATCAGAGGCAGCTTCGGGTCACTTTGATAACAGAGGTGTGCATAAAGAGGTTTATTATAGAGCTGCGGGGATAAATATAACATCATTTATGGGTCATTGAGTGTAAGTGTTGGCCAGAGTCAATCAAAAACATACAATTAGTAAATAGGACTTATTGCAGTTAAAAGTGTGTCATCGTCGACGTACAGTACGTACAGCTACGCTAATAAAGCATGAGATATGTCTTTATAGCGAGAAAATACAGTTTTCTGCTTAATGTTAAAGGTCTCCTATCGTGCTATTTGTAGGCATATCTTATGGGTCTCAGATATATAGAAATATATAAAAAACATGTCTATGATGTTGTTTTCTCAAAATACAAAAAGATCGTGCATTTTAGAAATCCCTCATATCGCTCTGTTCCAGCTGTTAGAGAAACGCGGATTTTGGGTCCTTAGCTTGAGCGTAGCTAATGCCTGATCAGAATTCTACCGGAGATAAAGTTAAATTTTGCTGTGATAAAATGCCATCCTGTTGTAAACCACATCAAGGATTATTTCTGAAACAGTATGGAGCTCTTTATCACAAGGTGAGTTCCTTTTTGTATTTCCTGCTTTTTAAACACATGTGCTCTCCAGTACAGGTTAGCTCTGAGTGTTAGCGGGGCTTGCTAATGTAAACAAAGACAAGATTACGTTCAAAACACGTCAGGCATAGTTTCTGTTGGCCCACCATCCGAAATTACGTAATATCGGCAGCAAATCTGTATCCGCTCGTTGTAGCCCCGTTTTTAAAAGATGTGGGTACGGAGGAAAAGAGAAACGGTTTTATTTTCTGCCGCTGCGTGAGTTCCCCGACGCACCGTGGACACATGTTGAAGTATAAAAGACATCAAAAAGTGCATTTTGCATGATAGGTCCCCTTTAAGGTAATTTCAGACAACTGTTTGCAAAGAGCGTCTTCCATAATATTATATAGACTTTAAATGTAGATTTTTTATATTTGGAGCAGCGTTTTATATTAATACGTTAAAATAAATCCCCAATTAATGTTAAACAATGTTGAGCTGACTCCATTAAATTTTTTCCGGCATCGACAATCTCTTTAAAGCACTAAAAGGTCCTAAAACCCTGACATGAGTCAGCATTTCCTCACTTCCTGTCCCCTGGTCTGGAGGTCAATGGTTTTCTGAATGTGTTTTTGGTTGTTATCCTGAAATAATGTTTGTGGTTATCACAAGCTGAAGAAAATTTAATGTTTTGTTCTGCGACATCAAATACATCAGTAAATCATTTTTAAAACGGTGGTTGCCAACAAGCGTATAAATGAGACGACTAAACGGCATCACACCCAACATTAGCCTCCTTTAGCTTAGCGGTGGTGACGTGAAGTCATGTGACCGTGCTGTAGTTCCTTTATAGTCCAACATTAGCCGCCTTTAGCTTAGCGGTGGTGACGTGAAGTCATGTGACCGTGCTGTAGTTCCTTTATAGCCCAACATTAGCCACCTTTAGCTTAGCGGTGGTGAAGCCATCTAACCATGCTGTAGTTCCTTTATAGCCCAACATTAGCCGCCTTTAGCTTAGCGGTGGTGAAGCCATCTAACCATGCTATAGTTCCTTTATAGCCCAACATTAGCCACCTTTAGCTTAGCGGTGTGGACGTGAAGTCATGTGACCGTGCTGTAGTTCCTTTATAGCCCAACATTAGCCACCTTTAGCTTAGCGGTGGTGACGTGAAGTCATGTGACCGTGCTGTAGTTCCTTTATAGCCCAACATTAGCCACCTTTAGCTTAGCGGTGGTGACGTGAAGTCATGTGACCGTGCTGTAGTTCCTTTATAGCTTATATTATTTTCTGACATTTTCTGCTGCCTTCAGGGTCCAACAGGAGTACGTCATCCCTGCAGCTCTCTTTATATCTTCCATAAGGCCTGTTCATGTTTTATGATGTGATTTATCATCAGGTGATTAAATGACACCGGGAGTCCAGAGTGAATCTGAATACTAACGATAATAAAATAAACTAAAGGAGGAGAGCGTGCCGTGCCACACATCACACAGATCGAGATGAATGGGTTTTTAAGATCCATTTTTACTAATTATTTACTCTCTTCATGTGCCATTCATTTTAATAGTATTTGATTAATAAGTAATACCTAATTGTGTTTAACTGTAGGCTGCTTAATTGCACCTTGTCACATTTTAGTGACAGTTTTAGTTTTAAACCTTTGGGGCGTAAAGGATGCATTTTATAAAACTATACGTTACAAATGAGTCTGTTGTCCAGCAGAATACTTAGCTTTCTCCAAACAAGTGTCATGTTAAAGAGGCAGGATACATTAAACGCCAACTAATTAGTAAAACAACCCCAAAGAAAATCAGAATGAGTCTCCGATGTTTCGGGCAGTGACGCACATCGTTTACAGTTCGTGATGAATGTAACTGTAACTGAAGGGTGTAATCACACTACTGTGGTGACATCAGGCTGCTATAAAGGAGCGCGTGCACGGATCTCTGGACAGAAGGACGCACGAGACTGCGGAAGAAGAAGCAGAAGAAGAAGAAGAAGAACGTGCTGCAGAGCTTTTGGAGACTCCGGCACCGCGTCTTTACGCACGGCGCGCTATGGACTACTGTTGAGCTCCGAAGCGAAGAAGAAGAAGAAGCAGAAGCAGCTCACTGCATTGTGTGCTTTTTGTTAAGAACTTGAGTATTTTTTAATATTAAAGCGAGTTATTTTTGTTGATAAGAAGAAGAAGCAGTTTCTAGCGCCATGAAGTTTCTGCTGTTACCGGTTTTTATGGCTTTTCTCGCCGTCGCCCAGGTTTTCTGCGAAGAACCCGAGCCGAAAGAAGAGTCTGATTACTGGACGAGCAGCAACCAGATCCAGGTACTCTGCAGACCTCCATTCCCACTGAAACTAACCCACTCATTTAGATTCTGTTCTGGTGCGAAAATAGGTGACTTTTTCTGATCGTTTTCTCTAAGAAAGTTGTAAAAACCTGTGTATTAATCGTTATTTAGCTTCGAATCGAGCTTCACTCCAGATTAATTATAATATACAGTAGCTTAATGTCTTCCTGCACACCTTATTATCTGCATGTTGAGATGAGCAATACGGATATTTAAAAACAATCTAGAATAAAGTATTAGATGATTGTCTTTTAGGGTTTTTAAGATGGATTGTTTCTCCTGCTTTGCTCTCTTTATGTGCCATTCATCCTGATGGAATGGGATGATTAAGTAAAAGCTAATTATGTTTCACTCTCTGTGTCAAACTCTGATACCCGAGGAATTCAAGACCGTTTGTGACTTTAAGAAAAATCCCTTTCAGTTGTAATTCTCTGGTTTTGAAGGCTGTTCTCCTGCAGGTTCTTGAGTTTCCACATCTCCAAAATAAGTGTCATTAAAAAGAAAGGCAGATTCATTAAATGCTCATTCATAAGTAAAATAACCCTGAAGAAATCTCAATTTGAAATGTTTTCTCTTACAGTTGCAATAAATACAATAATATTGCACCACAAAATAAAACAACTTAAAATATAGAAAATAAGAAATATTGTAAAAAATATAAATAGCCAATATAAATGGAAAAATATGCATCCTATAGTTTCAGAATAATTTAACAAAATGCGTTGAAGTTATAATAAAAATCCAAATAATTTGACTACAAAATAAAACAATTTTATATCTGGAAAAAATAAAAACACAATATTTAAAATATATAAATAGCTTATATAAATTGAGAAATATGCATCATAGACTTTATAATAATAATTTAAAAAAATGCTACAGCTGCATAAAGTTTAGTTTGAAGCAAGAAAATATACTAATAACTGTACTACAGAATAAAACAACATTCAATCTGGAATAACAAATATAATAAATACTGTAGCATATATAAACAGCTGATATAAATGAGGACACATGTATCCTACACGGAAACACTGGTGTAAATAATGTGAATGTATATATACTGGGACTAAAGGTGACTTGCCGCAGGTGAAGGAGTCCTGACACAAGAAATATTATGAGAAATATAAATACCTAATAAAATGGAAAAATACGCATCGTAACAAAAAACACTTAAGTAAAAAAATGCTTAAGTGTGATCCAGTTTCTAAGATGCAGGAACAGTTTAGATTTATCTGAAGGTGACTTGCACCAGGTGAAACACACTCAGACGCTAGGACCCCCATGAAGACGACGCCTTCAGCAGGAAATCCAATAAGAGCAGGCAGCATTGAGGACGCCTCTGAAGGCTCTGACTCTGACTTTGGGACCTGGAAAGGAGCCGAGCTGCTTTCCAGACCATCATAATAATATACAGCCCATAAATCACCTGAACGCTCCGCAGCAGCTTCAGATGACGCTCGCGCCCGGAAGGAGACGCTCAATCAAAGTTTAACATGCATATTGATTTTACTCTGAGGGGGGAGGGGGGTGTAGGAGGGGGCGTTGTGGGTGTAGGAGGGGGGGTGGTTGGCGGGGGGGACGGGGGGCAAACGTTATTACCTTTTAGAAGAGATAGGAAGGAATGCATTTAGGGACGTTTCTTTGCAGATTTCTTGTATTTTTCTTTGTTTTTCAACTTGTTTCCTGATTTTTGCATTATTTTACATTTATTTTTATTCATTTTCAATTTCTGAAGATGTGTGGTAAGAGGGTAGGAGTGTAAAAGGTCGCACATTTGATAAGAGATAGGAAATGTTGCATAAAGTTGCATTCAGAGACTTTTCTCCCCAGTTTTTTTTGCATATTTTCTTCATTTTTTTGTTTTAATTTCCTGATTTTTGCATTATTTGTTCATTATTTTTCTATTTCTGAGGGTGTGTGTGGGAGGAGGGTTAGAGGTGGCACATGTTATTACCTTATATAAGGGAGAGAACATGTTGCTTAAAGATGCATTGAGGAACACTTTCTTTGTGTTTTATTTCCAATTTTCAACTGTTTATTTTTTTATTGTGTGTTATTCTTTGAAGGTGTGGAGGATGTTGGGGTGTCAGTGGATGGAAACTCTATTATTTAACATAGAAGTTGTTGCATAAAGATGCATTCAGGGACAGCTACCATTTAAGTATTTGTATTTTGTATTTTGATTGGATTGTCTCAGATACACATGTATTCTTATATCTTGTAATCCATTGTGTACATTTTTCCTTAACTTCTCATGTAAATATATTTGTATTTAATAATTTGTCACCCTCACCATTTAAAAGCACCTTTCTTTTTTGCATTTATTGCTTCATTTCGCCCCAAAATGTCTTTTATAAATTGGTTTTAACCTGCCGTTCGGTGCCGGATCCATACCATAATATTCCTGAGCATGTATTGATGTGTTTCTCCCGCTTCAGGACGGATGGATGTCCAGAGATCCGTTCAGAGAGATCCTGCTGAGGATGACGAGGAAGCCGCGGCCGCATCAGTTCATCGGGCTGATGGGGAAACGCTCCATGGGTACGAAGCGCTCTAAAAAACACCTTGAGTTTCATCTGTTGGAAAACACATCGAACTCTTCATCAAACTGCACCTGAGCTAACCTTCATTCTCTTTCCCCCGCAGCAAATGCACAGATCACCCGCAAAAGTGAGTATGAATATCAGGAGGAAATGTTCCTGTGCAGCTTTTTAGAAATGCTGACGTCTGAAATCCATTCTTATCTGAAAACCAACAAAAAAACAATCTCTAAAGTGATTTTATTTCATGTTTCAGGCAAAGATTAAGATGTTAATTGATGTTTTTCAAGTGCTTTTCTTTAATTGGCCTTAAAGTGATCAAATCCTCCCTAGGGCCACAAATAAAGATTATTCTCTTGACTTATCATCTTTAAAATGTCCATCAATAATGAAAAATGTCCGTCCTGATTCCTGAGAGTCCAAGGTGATGAGTTTAAATACCTTGTTTGGTCAGTCTCAACCCCAAAGATATTACATTTTATGGGCAAAAAAAAGCACATTTGAGACGCTGGAAACTGGATTCTCTGACATGAGAAATCTCCTTTAAGCGTTTTGTTTCTGCAGTTTTTAGTAAACGCTGCGCATGTCTCCTCAAGTTGCTGAATGTTCTCTAAACGCTGCGCATGTCTCCTCAAGTTGCTGAATGTTCTCTAAACGCTGCGCATGTCTCCTCAAGTTGCTGAATGTTCTCTAAACGCTGCATGTGTCGTCAAGTTGCTGAAGATGTTTCTCTATGAGGAACATTTGGACTTTTATATCTGCTTCCTTTCTGGAGCTGCAGTGAGTTTGAACTTGTGGGCCACCGTAGATTCCAAAGCGATTACAATCAGAGCGATGAACGGCAAAACTCACGTCACTAACAGTTACAATATGAACGTGTCAGATGTTTCAAAAGCACTTTGTGAAACAGAAAAGCCTTCGATGTTTCCTCCGCCATATTTACAGAAGGAGGTAAATATGTGTGTTTATGTGAGCGCTTCAGAAACAGCCGGTAATTAATTAACGAGCAGATGATTGGGTTTTGCTTTTGAACGCCGGCTAACACACAGGAAGAGACACAGAGGAGGAAGAAAGAGAAGAGGAGGAAGGGATTTCCTGTTTCCTCCGGCTCTGTGCTCTTTGTTTTGTGTTTGTACATTAGTCTCCCACACACAGCGGCACAAACATAAATATAAATATGTCGTTTATTCCTCAAAGTCAATCATCATTAGGGAGGAGTGCTGCGTTCAATGCCCGCGGGACATCTGAGGGTTCAATTGGATTGTTTCCGCCTGTTATGGATTATAACGAGGAGGATGTTTGCTCCACACACACACACACACACACACACACACACACACACACACACACACACACACACACACACACACACACACACACTCACACGTTCTCACACACATGCACTCTTACACACACACTTTTACCACAAGGGCACATTTTATTGTAGGCTATATATTTACCGCTCATCAGTCTAATGCAAATATTGATGTTCGTGGTGTAAGAGATTCCCTCGGAGCTCCCTGTAGTGTAATATTACCCACAATCCAATTCACCGCCTACACACACACACACACACACACACACACACACACACACACACACACACACACACTCACACACAGAGACAAACACACACACACACA